CCTGGGTGGTGCCTGGCTGTGCCAGGGAACTTTCTTCCTGGTTCCTGTGATGCTGGAAGGGCTGGTGCAGTGGCCTCAGCGCCTTCTCCTGGAGACACTTGGCTCTGTGGGCAGTCCCTGGCGCGTTGGCTCCGTGGGCAGTCCCTGGTGCCTCTGCCTCCGTGTGGTGTGCTGTAGCAGGAGCCTTCTCTTGGTGTGATTCCCTGCCCTCCTGCACAGCCATGCCAGGAGCAAGGTGAGCCTCACATTCTTCCTGGGTTCTGTCCCAGATCCGTGCTTGCAGGAACGTTTCTATAGAAACCGGGGGCTGGAAAAACCTGCCCACCGAGTTCAGTGCTCTAATGTCAGGGACAGGAGAGCGAGCAGGCAGCAGGCAGGGGAGTGATCCCCAGCAAGGCAGAGGCCAGCGTGTGGTGACGTGGACAAAGAAGGTGTTCCCTCTGCTACACCTGTTTTGGAATGAGGAAAAACCACTCAGCACTCTGCTGCTGTTCCAAACACTGGCCCGGCTCCTCCATCGCAGGTTGGTGCAGCAGCGATTGTGCACACGATGAAGGTTAATAGTGGCCGAGGGGGATCCCTGCTCACGGGCTTGAGGCTCTGAGGCAATGAGAAGCGATGAGAAGCTTGGCAGATGTACCACATGGTGACTGCACTCCTGGTAAAAGTTGTCGGGAACAGAGTTAACTGGGCTGAGAGAAGGCAGCGTAGAAGGACACTTTGCAGGCTCAGGAGCAGAGCAGTCGTGGTTGCAAGGCAGTGATAAGCCTGAAAAACATCTAAATAAAGGGAATGAATGAAAGGGAAATAGGTACTGTCAGCCAATTTACCTGCTTGGTGGGCATGCTGTGTGCATTCCCATGTAATACGAGCATGCAGATGCTCATTTTGTAATTGTTGTTACGTCTTCAGCTACTGAGAGAAGAGCTGGTGCTAAGGGAAGAAATGGGACTAGAGTGATGGGGAGATAGACAAACATTTACAGAACTGGTGTGTAAGCAACTGACCATCCTGTGGACAGCATTCCTTCTCAAAAATAAAAGCTTTTTTTTTTTTTTTTTTTTTGGTGGTGCCTTTGTTATTCTTTTTGCCCTAAGAGTTGGTGTCAGAAAATCAGAGCATCTGTTGATCCATGCCAGCCTTTCTCAGGCAAGAGAACTGTTTAAATCTGGGAGGAGGAAGCCTTATCATTTGTGTTTCCATACACAGATGTTCTTTATGCATTTGCAGTGTTGCACAGCTGCTTATCTTGGAGTGCTGTAGCAAGTCGCTTCCAGGCTACAAGTGCTCCCTGGAAAGCTCACTGAGATGCAAAGGCAATATAACCTTGTACTATTCAGCACTATAAACCAGCTTGGACAGGGCCTGCTGGATGAATCCCTGGAGTTCCTACTTTTAGCAGTTTACCATCATAAGTAGCTTTACTGGAAAGGGGAAGCTGGAAAAGCCGTCCCAGATGTGTTAGTGTTAGTTTCTCTGAGGTTCTTTCCCAAGGAAGTGCGAGTGACTGGTATATCCCAGCACTGGCTTTATCTGCTTGTTTGAGGTGGCTCTTGCTGTCTCCCACACATAAGTTGTAGGGTTGATCCTAAAGTCCAGAATCTCTCTTTCTCTAATTACTGAACTATTCCATTGTTTTCTCGGAAATCCCCATAAAACCCCCCATAAAAATCTGCTGTTGACTAGTGCCAGGAAAGCAAGGAGGGAAGCTACATGGGCTATTCCATCATCTGAGCTCTACTGCCTGCTTTGGGAGCCCCTGGTGGTCCAGGGGAAAATACACTGCACTGTCACTGCAGAGACCTGGGTTCGATTCCCGGTCGGGGCCCCTCCCCGGGCAGATGGAGCTCGTTAGCCCGTAAAGGCAATCCATCTACGTCCTGAGGACCTCGCTGCCACCGTCCAAGCGTGCTTGGCCCCGGCAGATGAACCTCAGGATTAAAGGGTGGGCTCAGTTCCGCGCACACT